TTTATTTTAAAAAAATTATGAGGGATTGAATTTTCAGGGGAAAGAGAAAAGTCAAAAGTGTTTGGAAAAGCATTGATTTTGTAATTATTGTATGAATTTGTTGGATTTTGATGAATTTTATTATAGGATAGAAAATAAAGAAAAAAAATTAAAAGTTAAAAGAAATTTATAACCGAACCTTTCTGAGAAGCAAAAATGTTTTAAGGATTTTCTAATATAAAATTGCATATGCTTATATATGCACCACTGAGAATACGATATTATGCAGCGATATGGCAGCACTCTACAGAGACGTTTAACAAAACAAGGTGGGACAGCATCACATTTAAAAAAATACTAGATATTTATTAAAACAAAAAGCAGAAAATTTATGTAGATTTAATACAGAATGGGGCGTAATTTTTTTTTCATTTCTTTTAAAATAAATAGTTTTCGAAGGTTTACAAAAAATTCAAGGTTCTCCATCCTAAGTTTTGTTATTATTGATATTTCCTGAAAATTTCACAAAAATCGGACCAAAAATAAAGGCGCAGAAGGAATTATAAATTTTCAACGTGTTCGGTTTGCTCTTGAACAAAAAAAAAGGTTTAAAGAATGAGAGAGTAGCAGCTGTAAAGAAAGATTAAAAACACTAAAAAGGACAGGAGCAGAGACAATTTTTTTGTAGGGTTACACACAAACTAATTTTTATTAATTTTTTATGTTTTTCACTATTAAATAGAGCAAATAAAAGACATTTCCCTTGAGATATCCATTAGAAAATGATTATAAAAAATAATACCTATTATTGAGAAAATTCTCGGGATAAATCACTCACCTTTTATGTAGTTACGAGAAATCACTGATGGTTTGCTTGTTTTTATCGTTCCGTTACGCTTCGCTCGTTACGCTGCACACGTTTCGCTCAGACGCTCTTCAGTACGATAACTTTACTGTACTCGTTTCACTGTGCACCACACTCGTGTTTCTCGTTTGTGTAATTTATGCGTTCATTGTTTATAAATTAAATCGATCCTTCTGTCCTTCTGGTTGGAGAAATGTTCAATGACTAGTTAAATTAAAAATACTTCTAACAAAAGGTTTTTCAATACTTAATATTGCTAAAGCTCCCAATCTTGGCTCTCTCATAGGTTTCTTAGAAAAAAAGTCTTAATTCTTTTTAGGGTCGAAAAGCACCATTTACTTTCTACTGTAGTCATTGGAATAGTATATAAAATCTCCAATAATATTACACTTTCCGAAAACGTTTCACCCAGTTTCATTTCTAACAACAGCACCCGCACTGTTATAAAAATTTTCACGACTATATAAAACTTCCAATTCAGATTTGAGCTTAGAAACGTTCATCAGCTCATAATTAATTTTAATATATTTTAAAATGTCTTCAGGAAACTCATTTTTATAATGAGCAAAATTATTTATATCAAACAAACGTGAAACTATTAAATGTTCTGTAAAACGACAGCGGATTTCTAACAAAATTGTCATATGTTTCTAAAGAAATTCTTCTTTTGGAGTCTTCCGGATGTTTTCTTTTAGAGCTGCTCGCTCCGAAATTATCATTTTGCTCTATAGAGATAACACTATCTCGAATTTTTTGTATTATAGAATTAAAATGTTTTATAAAATTTTCAATCAAAATAGCATCAATATTTGATGTTTGCAATTGACAAAAAAGTATCTCAACATGTGGGGCATAATAGAGTGAAAAAATTTCAACCAATATAAAAAATGTTAATTTTCTAAATATGGTTTTAAATCCCCTACTCGATTTATTGTAGTTGTGTCAAATTCAATGTCCATTATTTCCTCCAAACAATATACTAAATCATTCTTGTATATGTAGAGTTTCAATACATCTGCTATTAAAATACCATCTGGAGGGAGCAGATTTTGGTAATCTTTTATTGACTACCCGATCCAACACTAAAGTTCTTTTAGGAGATTTTCCAAAAAAAGATGAAAATGCAAAAAAATATTCTTATTTCTTTTTGCTGACTAACGGCTTTTTGAAGTACAAGGTTTAATTGGTGTGCATAAAAGTGCACAAAGTGTGCTGATGAATATTTAGTTTTAATATTTTTTGGACACCTCCAATATTGCCACTCATTACTGAGGCACCATCATAACATTATGTGCGATAAGTTTTTAAGGGTTCCATTAATTTTTAGCTTTTCCAATTCTGCATATATTTCATTTGACAATGCCTGTGCCGTAGTACCTTTGGGTTCAATAAATTTCCAAAACTTCGCTCTTTAATTTTTTCTATGTAACCGCTAAAATAGACTCTAGCAATTCCTTCTGTGTTGTTTTGGAAATTCCTTTAAATACTGTACTATTTTTCAAATGTTGTTTAAAAATACTGTCTAGTTCCGAAACAAAATCTATTATTCTACGAAAGATTCCAGGATTTTACGATAACTCTGATTCATCATGCCCCCGTAAAGATAGTTCAAATGAACCGCAGAACTTTACAGTCAATAATTTTGCTTAAAATATATCTATTTTGCGATACCTTATCATTATGGTCTTTTATAGATCTACGATAAGCACTACTTAATTGAGTTCTTATATCAACGCGTCCAAGGCTACCGAAATTCATAGCATTGTTCATATGTATGGTAGAAGGAGGTTTTCCCCTTTTTCTTTTAAATGTTTTATGTCAGTAACGCCAGTTTTAGTCCATAACGAATCATCAGTACAAAACAAAGTACAGGGAAAACAAATAAACGCGTTCTTTACATTGCATCCACAAATCCAATCAGAAATGTTGTACATAGTTGGCTTAAAATCCCTGTTAATTTCTATCTCTTTGTCTTTTGTGGTTTGTTTTAGATCTAGAAGAGGTTTTGGACGTCCTTTTTCTTTTATTTCTAAACGTCTTTCAAAAGTCAATGTGCCGCTTATCTTACACTGAAGTATTTCTTGCACAGTAACAATAGAAGCTATTAATAAATGTTTGATAATATAATAACTACAAACTACAATAACTACACTACACGATTGCACAGTCCACAATATCTAAATATATCGTAAAAAACGTACTGGCTAGCCGACCGCCGGCGGTAGTTGGTTGAATTTAATAAAACGAAAACCGTCTTCCGGCGGCATGGTCTTATCACATATAAAAAAGACGCCGAAAATCTAAATTGATTTGATGATCAGGGCGGCATGCTATCAGTGCATTGATAAATGCCGCCGGACGACCGCGACGGTCTACTGTATTTAAAACATTGAATGCCGCCGAAAAAAATGACATAACCTTATTTCTTCCATTTCTATGTAAATTTTCACTTCTTGAATATTAATTAATTATTGACTTTGTTTTTATTTACTTTTCTTGAGATTGTGATCGAGTGAAGCTAGTGGCGTTTGTTGTTCCTGAGAGACAAATATGAAGTTATTTGAAAGTTATGAAGACTTTTTGAAAGACCTGGATAATTATTTCAAACGAGAATTTGTATCCTTTTGGAAGAGAGATGCCAGCACTATTTCAGCGGCCAGAAAAAAAAACCGATCGTTTTCTATATCCAAAATTAAAATATTATCAACTGAAATATACATGTATTATTGGTGGGAGAACGTTCAACCCGACTGGAAAAGAAAGTGACAAGGTAATAATTTCATAATAATGTCTACTAACTGCTCATAAGGATTTAATTAGAACTGTTGAATGAAATACAACAATTTATAAGTTTTCAAAGCTTGGATGATGTTATTATGTTTTTAAGGGGCTTAAACGAAACGTTTATTAACTTAAAGAAAAGCTATTCTATACCCACATTACATTTATTAATCTGATGAGGTACAAATGGTAGAATAGCTGGTATACACAGGTAAGTTGTCTATGCCAATAAGCAACATTTTTCTGCCTTGTTTTTTCACTGACTCATAAGTTGTGGTAAAGTATAAAATAAAGGCGATATTTTGTTTGGTATGAAGAAAAACCGCCACGCCGGCTGTTGAAAATTTAAATCGATGCCACCGCGATTTTACAAGTGTTTTTTCTTACCACCCCGGCATTCAATGTTTTAAATACAGTAGACCGTTGTCCGGCGGCATTTATCAATGCACTGATAGCATGCCGCCCTGATCAACAAATCAGTTTAGATTTCGGCGGCCTTTTTATGTGATAAGACCATGCCGCCGGAAGACGGTTTTCGTTTTATTAAATTCAACTACCGCCGGCGGTCGGCTAGCCAGTACGAAAAACGAAAGAAAATTTCGAAAATCCACGCATCGAAACACAACACGAAACAATAATTGAAAAACGTAACCACTTTAAGCCGAACCGTGTCTTTGAGATTTTATTGTTATGATGCGATGTTGAGTAAGTTTGTCAGCAGAACACGTGTCTAATATATTTTGCATTTTGGGCCTAGGGTCGTCGACGACTACTTGTCTCTTTTCAGCTGCAGAGCGGGACATATGCTGTTATATATCTGTCTAACTTGCACTACATTTATTCCAAGAGGTCAATTTTAAAAGCGGCCAATTCGAGCCAAGCGCGCCAAGTATAGGAATAATTGTTATTAGTCATTAGTAATCTTGGCAACACTGGTAATAATTGAAGAGTTTTTGCATAAAAATGTAATTACATTTTTGTAAAGATATTTTACTATTAAATATTAAAAATTATTTGAAATAAATTAGGTGGGTCATTGACCGAATGACCTTATGGAGAAGCCACGCTTGGTACTTAAGTTCTCATAAAAGTCATTAAGAACGACCATTTTAATTCAATTTCTTGCTTTACCAAATCCCGTGGTATAAGGGTATTGTTGAAGACTCGTTATAATATGCGAATTGTTTAATCACACTGATTAGCTATTCAATAAAACACCAATTTTCTTCTAATAAAAATGTCAACTGAACTACTTTATTTACCTACAATATCAGTAATGTAAACAAAGACGTCATTTTGAATCATATCTGATATTGGTGTGTAAACAAGCGGTATTTATGAATGGGTTATGTGGTATTAATCAAAAAGTAGAAAATTAAAAAGTACCCAACTAGTATATTTTTATTGGTTTTAAAGGTACACCCTATATACAAATACAAATTTGATAAAAATGTTACTTTATTTATTCGATGATCATTTAATGGTTCTAGATATACCTGTTTCCTAAGTTTAAGTCGATGTTTAGCTAAAATCATTATTCACTCATTTTTACGTTTGTAGAAGGAGAGTCAACTAATTTTTAATGTCACTTTCCTATTTAAATATTTTTATTTCAAACAATGTAAAAAGTAACCCCTGTAAAAAATGGGTGAAAGTTTCGATACGTTTGGCTTAAAAAATGTTTTCAGATATCAGACTTATTTGCTCTATAGTTAAATTGAAAATATCAATACCAAACAATAACAAAAAGTGTTGAATTTCATTTTAATATTACGATTTATAGCAAATGAGAAATTTCCTAACTGCTTAAATAATGGACCGACAAGAAATTTTAAAAAATTACTCACCGCATATATAAATCAAAACATATATAGTTCATCCCTTACGACAACCTAACTCCACAAATTGACAAAAAGGTTTGATTACTATTTAGTGACATGACAGGTATAAATGTATAACTTAAAACCACATTTTTTGTTTCATTTTTAAAATAATTCAAAATGTCCTTTTCGTGAATATTTTTCTTAGTCGTATAAAAAATGTTTAAACTGATGATTGATTTTTCGTCTTCAAAACCCAATAGAAGTTTTTGAATTGTATAATCCAAAGCTTGGTGGATAATAGCTGGTTCACATACTGCATTTTCATCTGGATTTATTACAGTGCAAAGAATGGCTGAAAGGTGGTTTTCGTGGTTCCAGCGACGAAATATGGATATTGAAAAATTATCAACACATTTGCCTTTTTCTTCATCTAAAATTAAAAGAATACTGCGTTTGAATACAATTAAATTAATTACAATAGAGACTATTATCTATATTCTATAATAAACGGGATGATTCTAAAATAGAATAGAATACTTTATTTAATTGTTTTTTTAGTATATATTTTCATAAGTATAAAGTACCGTAAACTGAGAGACTTGTAGATCTTAACTAATTATTAAGAAAAGCTAAATATAATTTTCCTGTGAACGCCCCAGTTTTCATTCTACAGGGTGATAAAGTGAATTCCTATACATTAATTACGACAGGATCGCCCTACAAGGGGCGCTGGCGTGGGTATGTATTTAAAACCTAAATTTAAATTCCAGAAGATATATTCTGAGTGTAACGATGTTATTGAGTATTTATGGGTTAAAATTATATTTTAAAACTTAGTGATTGCAATAGGAACTGTTTATCGTCAACCAAAGAGTAAAAATCTCGATTTTTTAAATAAAATAGAAACTATGTTTAAAGATATTTATTCTAATTTTGATCATGTAATTTGTGTTGGCGACTTTAATGTTAATATGCTAAATGTACATGATAATCTAACGCTTAATTTCAATAACATTTTAAACATTTTTAATTTAATTCAGGTAATTAAAGAATCAACAAGAAATGTCTCATTGCTAGATTTAGTTATTACTAATTTTGATATAAACGATTGCACGGAGTTAGTTGATTTAAATTTAGTTGCTGACCACGCAGGCATAAGTTGCATAATTAAGGTTAAAATTCAAGTCACATGCAAAGGTTATACCACTACCCAAAGTTAGTTATCCTATGAACTTCAATGATCTGAGATCTATTAGTGTTCTGCCTGTTTTTTCTAAAATTTTTGAAATTATTATTACAAAACAGATAACCTATACTATATTATTATCAATGCTAAAAAAAATTCGATTTAGAGAAACATCTCATAAGTTATTATCATTTTACTTGTACAAGCGAAAGCAAATTGTACAAGTCGATGATAAAAAATCTGCTTCATTGGAAATTTTATCTGGTGTTCCGCAGGGAAGTATTATAGGCCCCTTATTATTCTCTCTTTATACATCTAACGTTCCACTTGCACTAGAATATTGTCATTACCATCTTTACGCTGACGATACACAGTTATATTTTTCATTTCAATATACGGACAGACTAAAAGCTATTTAACGTATAAATTCAGATTTGGAAAAGATCCTTAGTATATCAAAAGATATTATTTGAAAATTAATCCCAATAAATTATCCGCTCTAATAGTTGGCAATAAAAATATTTTGGACACTACGCAACTAATAATAGGGGGTGCTGAAATAGCTATTACACCTCAATGTAAAAATCTAGGTCTTGTTGTAAAATTGCGATTTAAGGAGAACATTACGGCTAAATTAAGAAATGCTTATAGTAACCTAAAAATGATTTACTCTCAAAGACAATTATTATCTTTAGATTTAAAAAAAATACTATCCCACTGTAATCACTGTGATGTAGTTTACGGGCCATGTTTAGATAGTATTGACTCTCGACGAATTCAAAAACTTCAAAATTCATGTATTCTCATAGCAGCAAAAGAAATAATCAGAAACAATATCACTGGAAGGAACATGGTCATCTATACAGATAGCAGACAAGCACTACTCAACCTGAACAGACCACGAATTTACTCAGGGTTGGTACTAGAATGTCACGAAGCTTTGGCCGAAGTATCCATCAACAATGTGGTCACCTTAAGATGGATCAAAAGTCACGCCACAACGAAAGTTCTTGCTGATTCACTAGCCAAGAAAGCAGCCAACCAAATACTTTTTGGCCTGGCCCTATTGGCAAAATCGGTAGTGACAGACCTAATCAAAGCATATTCCCTTGTGAAATTCAAGGAAAGATGGGATGAAACAAGAAACTGCAGTGTTGCTAGGGAGCTCTTAAGTTATCCTGACAACACTGCAGCAAACAAATACTTGACTATGACTAGACAGATTCTGCGCCTAATCAAAGGCATTCTGAATGGTCATTGCCAAGTACGAAAGCATCTCCATATCATGGGGCTGTCAGAATCCGCACTCTTCAGAGGGTGCGAACAAGAAAATGAGCCCATCGAGCATATCCTTTATTAGAAGATTTGTATTCGGCAGGTATCGGCTAACACCGTTGTCAACTATATTAAATCTGTAGGCTGGCTCACGAGCTAGGAGGTGCCTATCATCTCAGGAGGATGCAAAATGGGCCTAATAAGGCCTAAGTGCCGTGGGGTAACCCACCCTCCACACGTTACAGAGATGTATTCGTTTAATCTTTAAGATACCAAGTACCAACATATTTCTCACACATTTAAAGAATCAAAATAGCTTACAATGTTGTGACGAAGTAACTAAATTTTATTTTTAATTCATCTTAAAAATGTATATTTCAATTAATTCCCGCCTGAGAACATGTAGAAGTTCCCCCGTATTTCTGTTTCCCAGGAATTACCGTTTTTCAACAATTGCGAGTACCCTCGTAGATTAAAATATTCTTATATTTGCCGAAATCCGAATGGGCATTTTTAGAGTCGATTTCGTATGAATTATCTACTTTTAATTGTCAAGGTACTAGAAAGACATTTTATTATATTTCTAAATTGTAAACAGTCAGCTGTAGTGGTGGTATCCCCACTCGGGCCTACTGGTCTTCCATCTTGCTTTACCGAAAAAGCATAAATTAAATCCCATCTGGGAATTACGCTCTCTTCTCGCTTGCCAACCGCCGTAAGCTCTTCTCTTGTGATTGCCGACAGCCGAAAACTATTCACCCTTAGTTAGTACCTAGTGCCGTGAGTACCGTGATTTAGTTCATCGATTAACCCCGTTTATCTGCTAAGGTAGGAACCGTATATTATTATTTTTTTTATATTGGCTTTTATATAATTAGTTGGGACACCCGTGTGATAAGTGAAGAATTTTGATTCACATCCAGGATATATTATTTCATCCCTCAGTGGGAAACCGTTGGCAATTTTTTATTTGAGGTTGGACCTAGACTAGACACCGAGTGCTCTCTTTGTCAGCGACTATATCCAATTTCTTTTAAAAACCGCCCAGTTAACATCGAAGTGAGAGATTCGACCTGTTTTCGATTTTTTTTTATTATTTAATTGTTTTATTTTTTTTTTTTCTTTTTCGGAGGTTCGATCCGTTTCCTGGGTTAGAGAGCTCTCTCTATCTCTCCTGATGACGTTGGCTAATTTTCCAAAAAGACGTTTAAATTAATTTCCGCGCCTCACTTCGGGTAAAATTTCTTTTCTTTTAATTTTTTTTATTCAGGCGTATTTGAATCATTCCCCGTCCAAAATTAGTTATTGAATGAAGCCAGACGACTTCTGTAAAATTAAATTCACACACACGCTCTCGATAGACGCTGGGCAAAATTCATAAATATTATTTTCTACGATCGTCGTGGTCGTTCAAAACACCGCGTAAATAAACCATAATTATCAGTAAGCGAGACTTTTCGTATCCCATCGCTTGGTTATTAAGATACGAGGGGGCTCCGACAATTTTGAGTTCATTTATTTGTTTGCATTTAATTACCGTCATATTTAAATTGTTTCAAGTGTATTAATTTATTTTCAGCAAATCTTATGACTACCGGGGACCGTAGTATTTAACTAACCGCAATTGTATCAAATTACTTTTAATATTTATTTTCTTTTCCGCTGTATTTAAGGTCCACTATTATTTTCTTGCAGGCTCGTATAATTTTAATTGTTCCTTTATATAATTTTCTGTTTTACCGCTGTGCCAGACCCGTGCACCGGCACTGTTGTATTTTTTGTAAATATATATATTTTATTGCCTATTCCTGTGTTTCTATTATTGCTGGTTCTTAACCGTTCTCTTTCAGACACCCAGAGAAAACCAGCAGGTTTTTGATGAGTTAATAACCTGGAAGACTTTGACAAGCTGAGAAGATTGCTGTCTTTAGACACCCCTCAGCGTCAACCAGCAGGTTTTTGACGAGTTGATAACCTGCAGGAGTATGATGAGCTGGAAAGATGGGTGTCTCTAAACACCTCTCAGCGGCAACCACCAGGTTTAGATAAGAGACAGGTTCTATATGCCCCTGGATGATGCACAATGGGCCTTATGAAGCCTCAGTGCAATTGAGAAACCCACCCTCCCCAAGTTACAGATACAGAGAAGCCTGTCTCCATAAGAGTCCCTATACCCCAGATTTGACAAAATTCTTATTGATCTTTTTGTTGAACGAAAATAGCTTCCAATTCAACCAAGTTACCTTATAACTGAATATAGTAATAAAAAAAAAGTACGCTATTTTTAAAGTATAAAAACTGGTTATATTTTTTAATTAACGAAATAAGGATCTAGATAACTTTTTTCAAATGTCCAGTATGACTGGACCAGTTTAATTTAAAGTATAATCTGCAAATAATATAGTTTCATAAAAGTTTTCATAAAATTTTATAAATCATGCATTTATGTATACTTTCTAACTGCTACATTCAAATAATACATAACTTAAGAGGAATTTAACAAAAAACCGGTTACTTACAATCAAACTGGTTATTATATTTGTGCGCCCAGACATGCCACTCTACAGATGCATTCCTAGGCAAACCAGTAACAACAACATAATCAACAATAGCATTATTTGTATTTTCTTCCCACAACTTCCTCACTGTGGTAACATATGATGGATCAGTCACATAACAAATACTCTAAAAATATATTAACTAATTAACCACTGAAAACTGAAAATTATACAGGGTATTTCATAAGTAACGTCAGTTTATTTTAATATCGTATAGAATTCCATAAAAAAAATTCAAGTAATTTTTTATATAATAAAAAAAGCATCAATAGAATAGTAAGTAAACAAACATCGGCCGAAAAAAAGACTCCTGGGACACGATTTTTGGGACCCTTCTTAATATTACGAATATTTGATTATGAGTGGTCTGTTCTCATATTCATAATGATACCTTTCATAATTAAAATTGAGAGTACTCTAAATTTTGCGAACATACAATTTGGCAAAACTGTCAAATAATTTGAAGCACTATTAAATAGAGGTCTGTGTCACAAAAAAGCTGAACATTTTCCTGTTAACATAAAATGCTCACGAAATTAGTCGTGTTAAGTTTAATTATTTGTTTATCGAATTTAGATCACTCAGTCTCATTTTCAATTATATTTAAACACGATAATTCAATTAAACTGATTTTATTGTCAGAATACAACCGGCGATTGCCGCTTATGGCCAACTCATGCTACTGCTTACTCAGCATGTCTGGACCAAAACATTCACAGCGCTCGTTGGTCAGTGGCGCGGCGCGCAAATTTAAAAATATAAATTAAGAGCTAACAGTCGGTACAGCTAATTTTATCATCAATTGTAGAACGCCTTAGCCGATTTTTAAAAATGAAGAGGAGTTTATCCTAAAAATGCCTTTAAGTGAAAATGAGTGACGAAACATTATGTGGTAAATTTTATAGTGTAATTTGTCTAATTTTGACATATAAAGTGACATTTTTTGTAATCTCAGCCAGTGTCAAAATGATTTTCTTTATGCAACCAGTTGCATAATATTGAACATTATGAAACTGTTAACTAAATAACTAACAAACAATGTAAACACACTACAATTCGTTGAGAATAAATTAATATGATTCTTTATTTTTAAATAAAATTAATATTTTCATTAAGACAAAAAAGAAAAAAGGTATAGCAAATATGGTTTACCTTTATACAAATACATATAAAAAAATAAGTTACTTATTAAATGAATAAAAATAACAATAAACGAACCTGAACAACGTTTCTCAAATTAAATTTGTGATCCACAGCCGTTAACAGCCTTTTTAAATGTCTTAAGACCAACTTACATTCAGCTTTTACGCCGCCTTTAACCATTTCCATGCTACCAGGAACTAAACCAATTTGGCCAGCTGAAAAAAATCGTAAAATAAAAATTATACAAAAAATATTCAAATTCTTTACCTAAATGAACGAAATCTTTTACTCTAATAGATTGGCTGTATGGACCTATACTTGCTGGAGCCCAATGGGACCTGCTTTGAACATGCATTGTTTGTCTAAAAAATAGTTTAGATAAGCGTTTTCCTGAAACAGTATAAATTGTTCCTAACTGTGCAAATTTAGTATGTAAACAAAACCATAAAACACAATATTGTAAAGGTGACAATAAAATCATTTATTATTTTAATTTTATGGAAAATTAAAAGATATGAATATCACTAGTTATGTGCTACGTTATTATAAGTAAGAAAGTTAGATAGGAGAAAAGGTTTAGAGAAATGTATGCCTACCTAAATTTTGCAGTTTTTATAATTGAGAAAACGGGAATAATTAATTTTTGAAATCATTAATTTAGACAGCATAACAAAATTACCACCCGAAAATGATAATAATGAGAATACTGATGAAGATTCTGGGGATGAAGATCTGGTTTTGCCCAGTAATCTCCCCGGGAGCCAACTGAGGGCTGAAGCATTTTTTACCAATGATAGAGACACCCAAAGGAATGACGAAGACTCTGATAGCGAGGATAATATACCTCTATCAATACGTGTAGCCAAGAGGAAGATAATAGAGAGTTGAAGTATTTCCAGTACGTCAACGTAAACGTGAAAGTCAATGCAGAAATATAATGTTTACGTTGAAGTCCAAAATATGAGTTGAAGTTGTTAAACGCATCGTAACATTTACGTGTCAAGACAAATAATGACAATTAATGACAATTTATATTGGAATTTCTTCTTTTCCAATTAAAAAGAGGTTATTTTGTTTGCGTTACGTGTATACGCCCAGAGTCCGTAAGTTTACGTATATACGTAGACGTATACGTGAAGGATATTTTAATAGGCATGCGCAGATGTCAAATTTCACGTATAAGTTTACTTCAACTCTCTAATATCGGAAAATAGAGATAAAAAAAAGAAACCAGCCTGTGGTCGAATGGTCCGATGATAATATACAGTCCATACTTCCTGAGTGGTTAGAAGAATATGGTCCTAAAAATGAAAAGTCCCCACTAGATTTATTTATGTGCTTCTTTGATAGGGATATAATTCAAATGTTAGTGAACTACACAAATATGTACGCCTCTCAAAAGAATCAAATTTCTACAATTTGTGATGATGAATTTTATTGCTTCATTGGAGTTCTCATTCTAAGCGGGTATGTCATCGTAAGTCGTCGTAAAATGTATTGGCAGAATTCTTCAGATGCAAAAAATATTCATTGAACAAGCGATTTCGATTGTTTGCGCTCGAAGAAGAAAATCACAGCGTTGATGAATCAATGATGCCTTATTTTGGGCGCCATGAATGAATGAATGAATGAATCCGTTTATTTAGCCATTGCTATTATATACAATTATTTTTTTTTAATTTACATATTTTTTTTTTGTTATCTTACATAATATACACAATTGTTTAATTTGATTCTCTAAGATATTTACATAATTTTTTGTTAAACAAATTCAAATTGCTAGTCTTTTATTTCTTTTGGCAGATTAGTAAAAAGATGTATTCCATTAATTAGCAACGATCCCATTAAGAAAGTTTTATTTGAAAAATTTATGTTGAAATTTTCATCGGATCTTAAATGTCGAGAATGTAAGTGTTGCCGCGTAACTAGTAACTCACTTAGATATTTCGGTGTTAATTGATGCATCATTTTATAGATTACAACGAGGGTTGCCTTTTTAATATTCTGTTCAATAGAAAGCCAATTTAGGGTTTGTAGCATATTTTTGATTGGAGTGTAAAAATTAGAACAACTCTCATACATTTGTTTTGGAGTACCTGAAGTCTGCTCACTTGTTCTTTATTACATGAAAGTAAATGTGACATACAAAAGTTAAAGTGTGGATATACAATTGTGTTATAAACAAGATTTCTACTCCATTGAGACAAATTTGAAGCTATTCTTCTAAAGAACCCTATTTTCTTCCCTAATTTCCTACAATGGTTGTAAACAATTCATAAAGGGTAAACCAATCCGGTGGGGTTATAAATTTTGGACCGGAACAACTAGATTAGGCTACATAGTATGGTTTGATCCATATCAAGGTTCGTCTACTACTCTCCCAGACAAATACAAGGAAATGGGACTTGGTGTTAGTGTTGTATTACAATATGTCGATACCCTCCCAAGTGAGATCTATCGACCCTATCACATATTTTGTGATAATTTCTTCACCTCATATTTGCTACCGGAAGAACTGAAAGATAGGGGTATCAGGTGCACGGGAACCATGAGAGAAAATAGAATCCCTTCATATCTAATGGATAAATCAAAAGTGATGAAAAAGAAACCAAGGGGTTCATTTATACATAAAACTGGAAATGGGATAATACTGGTTTGCAAATGGAACGATAACAATGTAGTATCAATAGCCACAAATTCCCTATCAGTTCAACCCATAAATAAGGTAAAACGATACTCCAGATCTGATAAGAAGCATATTTACATAGATCAGCCCCATCAAATCCAAAAATACAATGAAAACATGAGAGGAGTAGATAGATAGGGCTGATCAAAATATCGGACTGAACAGAATCTCTATCAGAGGAAAAAATTGGTATTTTCCTCTATTTTGTCAATGCATCGACATGGCTATTCAAAATGCGTGGCAGCTTCACAGAAAAAATAATGGTAAACTCGATCAGTTGGCGTTTAGACAAATATTTTGGAGACTTATAAGAAAATTTCTCGAAGGGTGTCTTCAAACCTACTACAAAATCATAATGAAAATTCGAGATATGATAGGTTAGATCATTTGGTTAAGTATCAAAATAAGCAAACAAGATGTCGCGTCTACCGCAAAAATTCATTTTTTATATGCGAAAAATGTGGAATTGCACTACATCCCAAAGAATGTTTCGAATCGTTTCATACTTTGTAAATTTAAATTATAAATACCTACATTTTATGGTTGTTTATTGAAGATTTTTTTTTAAACACTAATTTTCAAGGGTTTATCTGGCATTTTGGATATTGTATTGGGGTAGTTTCCGCTTATTATTAGTACTATTTGAAGTAGTTTTCATTATATTTTCAAACAATTTGAGAATATCTGAATCTAGTGACTGCCTGCGAGAGTGGGTCTCAAGGGTTTATCTAGCATTTTGGATATTGTATTGGGGTAGTTTCCGATTATTATTAGTACTATTTAAAGTAGTTTTCATTTTATTTTCAAACAATTCTAGAATAATATCTGAATATAGCGATTATCTGCGAGAGTGGTTAAGAGTTTGACTAGCCATTTGGATATTGTTTTGGGGTAGTTTCCGACTATTATTAGTATTATTTGGGGTAGTTTACAATTTATTTTTAAACAGTTCTAGAATATCTGAATCTAGCGATTATCTGCGAGAGTGGTCTCAAGGGTTTGACTAGCCATTTGGATATTGTTTTTGGGGTAGTTTCCGATTATTTTTATTTTTATTATTAAATGTAGTTTTGATATTAATAAGGGAAATTGTCATTGCTTCTTTTATATTATTTAAATATTTTTTTTTAATATAGGGTGAGTTCCATAATTTTTATTTAACTCAAACATATTGTTTGGGAATAATAACCTCTCCAATACCTGGTACCAATTAACTTTGAAAACCATTGTTCCGTTTTCTTTTAAAACTTAATATCATAATTAAAATTCAACCACCGGCCCGATCTAGTAAACTTCATATATCCTTTGATTTATTTCTGTAAATAATTAATAAACGTCTGATTGAGCTCCGTCCTGTCACAGCTATCGTTCCGCAACCGTTACTTTTTTTGTTATTTTTGTTCAGGGTTATGATGACCAATAAAGTGGTGGGCTTTGAAATATTTTACAATTGTTATTAGTTTTCGTAAGGAATACATGTATTAATTTTGAATTCTGGCTTATAATTGTGTGTCGACCTTTCCCCTTTCTTTTTCAGCTTCCGAATACTTTTACGTAACAATAACGATTAAAGCCCGTTATTGTTACCTTCTTTTGTTAATAGTCTGATATCAACGAGACCTCTGGAGTTATTCCGTCACCTCCACTAGAAGCTGCCCGAACTGTGGAGCAAACCACATTAGTAAAACTGGCGCTCGAGTACTTCCGAGTCTTAAGGTGTCACTTGTAAGGGTTATATTTTCTTAGAGGTAAGAAAACATCTTACAGCGTGCTACACTTGACACACAGACGTTGAGATTCGTTCCGACCTCCAAGACATCAACATCTTTGCTTTTAGTCCTTCGCGTGCTCGACGCTATTTATTAAACACAAAACAAGAGGTGTATTAAACCTGTTTATTATCAATCATAAAGTTAAGCACCTATACTATTTCACTATGTAAAGTTGTTATGTAAATTGCAGTTTATAGTTTTAAAAAAAATGTTGATTGAAGAACATATTATAATTTCATCATTATCAAATAAGTGTTTGGCAATTCCTCAACAACAATCATACATTTCTACTAGCTACAGTTACTAGAGTCCACCCGCTCCTAGCTGATCTGAAGAAACCCTTATTTCTGTAATGAATATTTAGAAGACATCGACAACAATGTAGTTGTCAAATTATTATGAGAAAGTATGGGAGAGTCTTGTTACAAGGATCGTTTATGGTTATAATTCTGTATTGACTAAATGTAAGGCACTAAAGTTCACAAGAGGCTTTAAAAATTATATTAGAGAAGTATATTTGCATTCTTAAGGCAAGTTATTATCAGTTTAATGTATTTTTCTTGTTGCAACTATTAAAGTTGTACGTTTTTCAGAAAAGTATGCAATTAATTTTGAAGTGTGACAGCAGTGAACAGCAAGTGTAGTAGACGTAAATACTGATTCATTCATAAAATGCATGCGCTTGTCAGGTAAACATGTTCGCACAAATCATCCCCACTCAAATTATCAGCTGTCTCCTTATTTCTAATCCAGCAGCCTGCGTAATTATAAACACAATCTGAATGATTGCAATAAATATGGGCTTAATTATAAATGAATGGATTAGTCTAGTAGTATTTCGTCGTTGGTAATGGGACTTTTCATAAAAAGTAGTCAACTTTAAGCATAGAAGATACACAGTTAAATGTTTCTCCATCCTGGATGCTCTTTCAAAAACACTTTGGGAACATTATTTGCATTTTCGTTTTTTAGGCGAATCATTTGTAAAATTCTTCTAAATTTAGGGTTTTTTGGTAATTTTTTCACGTTTTTAGTTTATTAGGATTAGAAGCGAAAATTTGAAAACATCTTTAAACCCATATATATGGTGAGTTCAGTGGATAAAACATAAAAGTTAGTAGATAAGCGATGCATTGTATTGTGGTCTCTGCACGGTTGTCAGATGTTTATTGTTGCTCAGTTCCGTTTTCCAGATATTTCAGTTTAAAATTATTGATAATTAATGTTTTTTGGAAAAGTTATTGACTGAATTAATTTGTAGTAATGCCGATACGCTCTTTTCACGATAATTAAAAAAAGTATTCAAGGTGCAAACTTTTTACGACACACTGTATACAGAATAAATCCTAAGTTGATACTTTTTTAACTGAGTATAGAAGTCGTTAAAATAACCTTTTTCAAAACTCAAAAATAAGATACAGATTTAAAAATCTAAATCCGGGTCTGGACTAAAGTATGAAAAGTTTATCTTATGAATTCATCGTGTACTGGTTATTGTAATTCAGTCGAGTGTGATTTCAGTAGCGTGTTTATCTAAAGTTAAGTGAATTTAAATTGTGCAGTCTAGTAAGAAGATCCAACAACAAGTACACAGGTAATTGCAGCTCAGTTGGGAGTGAGTCAAAGAAAAGTGTGGATAACATTGTGAGAAAAACAAATGTATCCCTTTCACGTTCAACGTTTTCAAGCACTACAACTTTTTTTGGAATACATTATTTTTTCTTATTTGAGGTTTTTTTAAAGTTATTTGAAAAAGATGCTTATTTTAATGCCTTTTATATATTGTTAAAAAAGTTTCAACTTAGGATTCACTCTATATAGAAGTTGAACAACGGTGTGCAGAAACCCCCTAATCAACAGATAAGGATATAAATGTGTAAAAAAATTAGCAATAATTTATTAAGGCCATATAAAAAAATGTTAGGCTTACCTTTCTACTGTATCTCCTGTATCACAATTTGGCTGTTTCCATGATACAGCTTCTAATCTAACTGGGTTATTAGGATCAAATGGCACCTGCACACAGGCTCGAGTAGGTGGATTTGGAAAAATAAAAGTTTCTACATATAATTTGTTTAACTCTGCATATTGCGACATATCGCCTATGAACATCGTTATGGAGCACACATCTTTCACGGAATGGTCATATTTTGTTAATTCAGCTGAAAAGTTAATTATGTATTATATTTAATGTGAGAAATAAAAAAAAATAGAGGATCCCAAAAATGATTCTATGTAGTATTAAAATATTGGAATATTGGAAAATCTGCCATAAATTAAATAAATAAGATAAATTATGGATAGATGGAAAGAATATTTCCAAAATGTGTTATACCTGAAAAAGCGCAAAAAAAAATAAAAGTCTGGCGCTTGAGGGGCAGAAAACAGACAGCACCTTCTTCCATGTCCGTTTCTTATTTGAATTTTCAAATAGCTATTAAGAAGTTAAAAGAAGAAAAAGTTGTCGGAAATTACAGACTATTGTTACCCTGCACCCTACAGTGTGTCTAGAAAAGTATGCACAACCCAAAATAATAGGAACTTCCTACACATAGGTAATGCAAAATAGTAAATTCTGTTTAAAATGATAATATATGACAACATAATATTAGGTACAAAAATTTAAAGTAAATTGTATAAGGTGTAATAGAAACATGCACATAAGAGACTCATCAATCTATGCCTGCATGTATGTACAGTCAAATATCACAATTGTAGATTCTCACATTTTTAACGTAGACCTTTGCGGGTCTGAGGGGATAGGAAATCGACGAGTCATAGGCGTGCGGTTATTACTAAAAATGATCTTCCGCATTTTAGAACGAATTGGTTGTCACAAAAATTGTTTTCCTATTTTAAAGATGCACAAGGTGAGGAAAACCGGCAATAAAAATTATCGAATAAGTATATATAAATTCAAATGTATATACGAGCCCTGTCTCAGTGAAGTTGGCTTAACTGCCAAAACCATGTTTTTTAAAGAAATTTGCCATATTAACGAAAAACGTATTAAAAACTATAATATTTTTGATAACATATGGTACATTTATTTAATTTTAGCCTAAAATACATTTTTTTTGTAACAGAAAAAAAATCAGATAAATTAAAAAAAAGTATATTAAAAAAAAAAAATACGAAACCAAATAACCACTGCGTTACATCGCCTTTTCGACTGATTACTGATTCGATACACCTTGACATAGTGTCATTTAATGTTTGGCAGTCATCTGCTGTAGAACTGTTCCAAATTACTTGAAGACGGGTTTGCAATTCTAGAATGGTTCTTGCGGGATTTGATCTGAGCTTTTTTTCCTGATATGCTACGTTTCAATAGGCGAGAGATCTGGGCTACTGGACGTCCATTTTAAAATTGGAATATTGTTTTTTAACATCCAATCTTTTACTTTTTTAGCCGTGTGACAAGCGGCACCATCTTGCTGAAGATACATTCCATATTATTTAAACCCATTTTTTCAATTTGGGATTTTAAGTTATTTTGAAGCCCATTAATGTACTCAGTATTCATAATACCCACTTCTTTAGCTGACATGGCTCCCCAAATCATAACAGAAGCCGGAAACTTAACTTTCTTTCTAAGACAGTCATTCTGAAACACTTCTTCGTTTGTTCTTAGGACACGACTCCTACAATCAACAATGCATACTTTAAATCTGGCTTCATCATTCCAAATAATACAGTTCTATTGGTGTGGAGACCATAACTTCTGAAACTTTGTCAGTAAGGGCTTCTCTTTTGCCTATGAATTATTGAATTAAAAACAAACAAAAACAAAAATTATTCAAGCATACCTTGTAAGTTTTAAATCTGTTTTTTGGCAGCTCTGTGACAAATTGCTTGGAAAATGTTTTTCCCGTTGCCCGATTTCATAATATTCTCAATTTGTTATAATTAGCACGCCGATTTTGCTTGATAATCCTTTTTAAAGCTCTTAAGTTGGCATTGGAATATTGCGGATAATTTCCAGTTCTCGGTTCTTGAGCAACATATCCAGTTGTTTTGTACAGTTTAATAATATATCAAACTGTATATCTCGATTTATTAACACTGTCAGCAATTTGGGAAGTTTGGCCCTTCAAATGCAAGTGAATTATCACTTTCCTTATTTCGTCTGAAACAGCTTTAACACGAGCCATTTTTAGTTGTTAACAACAACACCAAGGTACGAAAGTTAATTATAACGTCAAAATCGGCTTCTTAGCAAAGTCAAATATTATCATTTGTTTTACAAAGCCTGCCTTGATTTTATTGAAGCTGATAAACCGACTATTCAACTTAAGTTATCGCCATCATGTGTTTTGCCAAACACAAATCATTTTACAAATAAAACAATTTCGAAATAAAAACTCTTCTAAAATAGCCACGCTGGTCTTATTATATTTCCATAAACATTTAAACAAACCAAAAATATTATATTTTAAACAAAATTTTAATTTGCCCTGAGATAAATTCACAAATATCTTGTTTTGTGGGGTTGGGCCAACTTCACTGAGACAGGGCTCGCATATTTTTTATATATCCCTGTTATAAACTGTAATAGTCTTTTGAGATGATAGTAGTAATAATAGTTTAACATCTAATACATATTTGACATATTTATCTTTATGACACTGTGCTAGGTTTAGTAACTCGATTTTTAAAATTGGTTCATTGAATTTAATATTTTTCTTAGTAAGCCAATCTGCAATCTGGGCTTTTCTCCGGTTGGTAACTGATCTACACGCCGGCTGTGGTATGGAGCGTTATCCATAACAATAACAGATCCTGGTTCGATTTTTAAAAGAATATCTGAAAACAATTCCGGTCTCTGCTGATGAAATCCCTATCAGCGCGCCTATGACACCGCTTCAGTGATAACATCCAATCAAGGTTCAAATGCGTTGTTGCCAATAACGTCGCTTTAATCTGCGACGACAGAGTGGATCTCGGACATTATCTACCGATAGATAAAGATTCAAACTACACGCTGGCAACGTTCCATTTTACCAATCGCTTGGAAGAACAGTTTAAAAATAGACTAGTCAAATTATTAAAATTATTTCAACAAAATGATATCTGTTCTGAAGGTAAATAATAAGCAAATGAATTAATTATTCAAAAAAATTATAAAAATAGCGATCTTCTCAATTTTTTTGAAACTATCTATACGTATAGCCTTTGAAGAGTGAGTAGAAGGAAAAGGTTTTAGTCGAAGAAAAAGGTGTTTTTAAATTTGTAAGAGATTAAATAAACTTTGTAAATCCCCACTTATTTGTTTATTAATTAATACTGAATATTTTTCCTTTTGTCGGTATTCAAAAAATCAACAACTATTAAAAATAACTTTTATTGTACAGGGTAAACGTCTAATTTGATTGACCTATAAAATTTATTTACAACATGAGCCACTATCTACAATTGTGGTATTCTACTGAGTACCTACATATCTTCCTGTTGAAATTTCTATACCTGTATGTGGAACGAATACGCTTTTGCCTTAGTTTTGCATAAAGTTCACAATAAAATTGATCATAAATATGGAAAAAAACATTAAAATTGATTTTAAGAATGCATCCGAGTAACACCAAGAAGATGATAAATATTGAAATAGAGAAAACATTGACCATGTTGATAGTTTTAAGTATTTAGGAGCACATGAAGAAGAACAAGGCTTAGTAAAACATTGATAAGAAAGAGTGCATTGAAATCAAGTACCTAATGGCAGTTCTAGGAATAACCAGGAGATATACAGAATAAGAGGAACAAAGGTGAGAGAAGTGCCAGCTAAGCACACAAAAGTAAAGTTAAAAAATACAAAAAATAACAACTTCCTATTAGATTTAAAATAAAAATACTATGTCTATGCATACCTACACTTTAAGATACTCATGGCTTGTTCCATCGCTTCCTTAGCGTTGATGGAAGTTCCCTGAATACCTCCTATAAAAAGCCACCCTTCTTTGTTGCTATGTACAGAGGAAACTTCTTGTACAACATTTTCACAAAAGTAACTGCATTTATCTATATTGGAAGTTGGTGTTATTCCATTTTGTGGGTCATCTGCTTAAAAAAAATTAGTTATGTTATAACACAATAGATTGGTCAGTCTTTAAGTAACAAAATCAATTAAACCAGACTTTAATAATCTTACCTATGTCTTCATCAGATTTAAAAACTGCTTCTTCATGATCAGTAAGATATCCATCACAATTTTTTAATGGTAATCCTTCTAAACGATCTTGTAAATCCAGCGGCGGTAATTTTAATTCTAAGGAAAGTTTCTTAAAAGTTAGGTAACCTACTGCTACTATAGGATCACTCGAGTGAATCACAATGTCAGAATCTTCCCTAAAAAATGCAATATACTGATAATACAAGATATACAAGAATTTTGTGAGAAAATGAATTGAACTTACACAACTAATCTACTCTTAAATAATGGACAATCTAATGTCAATGTTTCATACTCTCCTCCCTCTCCACACACATTTAATCCGTATTTTTCATGCATGGCAAGCAAGTGGGGTTGTAAAGAACTAAGTGATCTTCCGAGATGTTTAGTTTCTAAACCTAATGTGGCTACTTTTATTACTATTGCATCTACTTCACAACTTATTATTTCGTCCAAAAGCTCTATTTGATTTCTTTGCCACAAATAGGCCAAGGGCATTAAGCCAAGTCTTACACAACTAAAAAATTTAAATATTAATTACACGAACAGATTTGTATGTAGTTTATAAAAAAGATTGTAAATGAAAATTTCATTAACTTACACATTTTCTACTCTTGTTCGTTGATAATCTGATAAAATAGCACCTACAGACACTGCTTCAAAATCAATATCCTTTTTAATTTGCTTTAAAAGTACATATAGATCTTCTACTTCATCACTATCAGATGGAGTATATACCTTTCCTCTCTCATTAGAAATTCCTAAAAATACAGTTCATCAAAATTATAAATTCTTGTTAGAAAAAACATTTTTCAGGCCTTACATCCGCAAGGGTAGGAGGCAATAAGATTAAGTAAGCAAGGTTATCGTATAAATATTTTATTAAAGGTTTTTCTTTAGTGTTTCAAAATAATAAGGGCAATAAAAACAATCGCCCCAGTTGCGATGGGAGCACTAATAAATTTATATAGGTTTGGTATTCAAGTTCTAATTTTTGTGATCTTCCGAGATGTTAAGAACTGCGCAAATTATCTAGGGCTAAAATGTTAAAATTCACTTCCCACTCACATCAAACTCATGCAGAAACCTTTAAAATTTGGTAAAGCAAGTAAATAATTAATTTCTTAAAATTGAACCAACTCGTACAAACAAAAAATTTAACTATAGTTCAGGATACACTAAGAATTCAGTATGGCCAGGCACAGGCTATGCATTTCTAATGGGAGACCAGCACACTATGTTGCCGTTTTTCCCATAATGACATATTTTCTTTCTACTCTCATTTTACATTGTAGGTACTTATTAAACGCCTACATAAAATCTGTAACGTATTATTCATTATCACGGGCGGTTTCTCCATTGGTTCATTTGTGCAGTGAACACCCAGTTAAATTTCATAAAAACACATTATTTTAAAATTACATAAATAACAAAAATTTAAATTTAATTTTAATATTTTTATTTTCATACGTGTTAATCTCTATTTTTTGGTACATCATTCCGCTCTGGCTGAGTGCGTCTCTGTAGCCACAGTATACCTAAGTATACTGTGTCTGTGGCGCGTTATGATGAGTGAGCCCAGACGAGTGAGACGATTTTGCGAATGCATATAACTAAAAAGAGATGACAACACGCCAACTGATCCTTCAAACTGCATAAGAACACATTAATTGGCGCGCCGCTTACAAATCAGGGTAGGGCATCGAACCTTGCCAAACCAGTGTTGCCAGTCTAGTACAATTCACAATTGTACTAGATATGTAGTAGATTTTCGAAGCAAAATCTAGTACTTTTTCTTACTCGGCGTGCAGTATATTAAAAAAGATAAATAAATCAAATATGAAAAGCGATTTCAACATGAAATTTTTAGTAAACATCAAGCTCTATCAGGAGATGAGGCCTATTGATTGTGAAAACAATCTGGTTGAAAATGGGGGTCTGTTAAACTAGGAAAAGTATTATTTAGAATGCCACGCATTATACAGAGTGGCCCAAAAGTCTGGAAACGGCCAATTATCTCGTAAATTGCTGATCCTAATTGTACAAAATTTGGGGTACACCTATTTTGGGATACGGTGATTCCAGATTTGATATTTGCAATGTTGTCAGATTTGCCGTTTCTCTTAAACTATTAGTCACTTTGGTTTCTCAAATTCATCACCCTGTATATTCAGTCATTATTGGAATCTCTTATTCAATACGAGTTCAACCATGTGTAACACTTATTATTTTATGTAGTCTGGAAAATTTTAAATAAATAAAATAAGTCTGGCAACGCCTAATTGTCTCAATAAATTTTTTAATACAAACTATTTTCAACTACATTAAAACGTAACAATTGAAAGATTATAACATAATGGTTACTTTATCAAGTGTTCAAAATGCGCTACATTTGTGAGGTGACAGTACCCTAATCGATGGTAGAATGCATCTACCACATTTCTCCAGGATTGTTTTATTTATTTAAGACCTTCCAGACTACATAAAATCATAAGTGTTACACATGGTTGAACTCGTATTAAATAGGAGATTCCAATAATGACTGAATATACAGGGTGATGAATTTGAAAAACCAAAGTGACTAATATAAGAGAAACGGCAAATCTGGCAACATTGCAAATATCAAATCTGAAATCTCCGTATCCCAAAATAGGTGTACTCCAAATTTTGTATAATTAGGATTAGCACTTTACGAGATAATTGGCCGTTTCCAGTCTTTTGGGCCACTCCGTATATCTTTATTCTAGTTTATATCTGTGTAATATCATGTGTTGTGATGGGACTGATCTTATAAAATAAACATTTAAAATATTTTAGTTCACTTGTTTTATTTGCCAATAAAAAGTATTTAAAAAATATATTATTTTATATGTGTGACAAATTGTGAAAATGATTAAATTTACAATAAAAAATGGTAGGTAAAGTTTCATATAATATTTATTACACAAAAATCAATGTCAAGCTTTTTACATAAACTGATATATATTTAAAAATAATCTCAAATTATGAAGAAAAGTCAGCTAACTAATAATGTTTATTGAATATTTTCAACGTATTAAAAACCAAATAAATATTACAATAACTAAAATATTCATTTATTCATAGTGGTAGTGCTTGAAAACAGTATTATGTTGATAATAATAAATACACTTAATATAAACTCAAATAATAATTAAAAAAACGACGATATTGGCTCTTGTACAAAGTTTTGAACTGAACTTACAAATGATAAAATTATTGGAAAAAGTGAACACCCATTTTAAATTACCACGAGCCGCCACTGTTCATTACGATACAGACTATTTTTGTTTTGATACAGATTATTTAAATGACAATCCAGATAACCTTTTCATTACAATACAGATTAGGTAAGAAATTACATATGGATGAGCAATATACGTAACTAGATACATCATTGGTGTGATTCCATGATATTAATTATCGACTGTCGGCGTCCCTCTGGTACAGAAGCACCATCTTAATTTTATACATTTTGAGGGACATTTTTTTATATACAAAAGATAGTTCTCCTTACCCCAACACGCCATAATGTCACTGAACAAAATTGGCATAATTGCGTTACACGTCAGAAAAAAAACGGAAAAAGAAATGTGGGTCGTTGATAATCTCCAAGACAACGTTGAAGAACTCATTCTGCCTTGTTAATTCAAATGGCCGTATCTGTTTAATACTTATACGTGAGAAAAATCAATTTTTCAAGAAAAATCACTTACGCCCAAATTTCTAAGCGTTAAATCTCGGGTTTTATAGAAGAAATATTCATGAAAGTCATAGAGATGGACAAAAAATTCATTGTTGTCATGCGTATTCGTCATATCTTTATTTCAAGGAAAATTGCAGTTACGGCCATTTGAATTAACACGGCAGCATTATAAGCGTAAATTTTGGCGATAGTTCTAAGAGTGAGATTCCAGACCTTAACTATGACTTACACTTACAATGACATCTATTGCGTAAAACTTGTCTAGTATTTGTTAACTTATAAATTTGTAACTTTGAAATTCATTATTATTGAACATACAAATTTTGAGATAAAATTTAAACCCGTGTCGAAATTTGCCTAAGACCGGACCTGTTTTTTTTTTTGTCGATCCCAACATAGCGACGGCTAGCAACGGTACGCTTCATAAGCCTTCACAATGCACTCTTAGTGTGTCTCCCACTATAGCAAAGGTTTGTTGAAGAGAAAAAAATATATAAAATATATTACTTCTCATGGTACATACAGGTGTCCTTCACCTAGGTGCCAGAATTGAAACATAAATATGTTTAGTTATTATAGATAAGTTGTTTTAAATTTTGAGTTCAATCTACACTATTAAGAATTAACATCACGTTATATTTTGAGGCTTCTATGAGGTCTGACAATTAAATAACGAGACTGTTTATAAAAAAGTTTTATTTTAAAAATTATTCTACAATCGAATGCTTCCCTTCAATGTACTTCTCTCCCCTCTCCTCGCCACACACCGTTCCATTCTTTTTTTTTTTTCGTTTTTTCTATTGGTCAAAGCAATGCTGGAAGTCTTTTTTGAAAGAGCATTTAGGATCTCCGCCGATTTTTGCTTCACCTCTTCCATCGACGCGAACCAGGTTCCTTTTAAGGCAAGCTTGATCTTCGGAACCAGGAAAAGTCACAGGGTGCTAAATCAGGCGGGTACAGCGGGTGTTCGACACTGAAATGCCTCTAGCGGCTAAATAACGCTTCACAGACAGCACGTTGTTCTAGTGCAAGATCCACGACTTGTTTTTCCACAACTCCGGCCGTTACTTGCGAACTCGCAGTGTTGCCAAAACTTTCAAATAGAAAGTTTGATTTACGGTTTGCCCCTCTGGACCCATTGAAACCCATCACGATGTCGTTGACGTCGAAAAAATGATTGGCATGGCTTTCAATTTTGATTTCGACATTCGGCCTTCAGAAAACCGATTATGACATTCGAAAACACGAGTACGAGCTAGAGAATTCTCACCATATGCCTCTTTCAACAACTTATATTAACGCGAAATGTCACATTGATCCCTTGCTCGTGTTTTTCGTCACACATTGTTATCGGCACGAGAAAAGAACACGTTCGTTTATAACCTCTATAGAAAAAATACTACTACAGCGACAAAAACGTGTTTTCGTACTGGAATAATAGACACTTCCAGGGGGTCGATTCTCGACTCGTAGGAATTTTTTCCTATAGGAATTTTTGACATTTTTCTATACATAGAAAATTTATGACATTTCCCTACATATAGGAAAGTGTCACAAATTCCTATAGGAAAAAATTCCTACGAGTCGAGAATCGACCCCCTGGGTATCTATTCTTCAATATCAGGGAGTAAAAATTGTAAGGGAAGAAAGATAAAAATACAAATTTTGTGCGTTGCAGATAAAGAGGAAAAACCGGTTTTCTATTCACTCGAATTCAATAATAGCTGCCCAGCTATCCAACGCTGCATTCGTCCCCCTCCCTTTCCCACCAGGACGCCTTCTGCGCGCGCCGTCTCCTTATTTAATTGCCAGACACTGTATGTATATTAGGGTGTATCATTTTTGAGCAACTTTTTTTTTCAACTAAAAAACAGGCTAAAAACTTTCAGGAAGGTGAAAAAAGAAGCCTCTAAAAATTTGAGCTTTTAATATTAACATTAAGTGGTGCCTATTCCTAACTTTCCATTTAAATAACATGGAAAAATTAAATTTCACATTAAGTATATTATTACTTAGCTTTTATTTAGAATACTGTCGCATTTAATTATTTATTTTATTAATGTAAAATCTTCTGAAAATTCAATTATACTGTTGAGTTAGAATTCCGCCATTACCGAATTAAGTTAAACTCTTATTCTTATTTAAACGTTTACTATTTTGAATTGTGGATTTAATTATTTTATTCTCCTTATTTAATTTATGTAAAACATTTATCACTAGAAACTCCACAGCCCATGTTCAGCTGTGCAACTTATTTAAGAAGTACAAAAGTAATATTCTATATAAAATTTTAGAAGAGGAGGGAAATATTTTTGATCAGTCCTTTATCTTGGTTTTACTGCAGGTAGCTCCATAGTTACTAATCTGATGATCATCAACAAAATATTTTCTCTAAATTTTATAATATGCAAGAAAATTGGCAAGAATTGGCTAACACCGGCTGATATAAGAGAAGCACCCTTGTCAACTACATTAAATCTATAGGCTGGCTCATGAACTGGGAGGTGTCTATCTTCTTAGGAAGATGCACAATGGGCCTAAGTGTTGTGGGTTAACCCATCCTCCACACGTTACAAATACAGAATCCTAATGAGGAATTCAATGCAATCTGATGCAATCTTCAATTTATTCTTGGTTAAAGGTATTAATTTTAATTCTTGGTTGTCTCATTTTTGTTGTTTCTACAGTATAACATTCTTCAAATTTAACTTTAGCTATATAGTGTAAAACATGTAAATACAGTAAATTTAACTACAAATACCAAGAGATATAAAAAATTCAAGATAGATATAGGATTTTAGTGGCGTTCCGTTTTTAGCTGAATTGCATTGTCTAAAACAGAAAGGGTTTCTAAGGGGTGCAGAATCCTTCTAAAAATATATAGAATTGAAACAATTTAAAACGCCACTAACTTCATTTTATTAGTCACTGTATACTAAACATCCCATGTATATTTTGTAAAAATATTTTAAGCAGTTTTAGAGTAAGAGCAAAAAAACACTTTAAAAATGTCTACTTTAACCCTTTGTTAGTCGTGTATGGGTCTGTCAGTCTCATGGTGTATAATTTTTTTAACTAGTTTTGCAATGGCATTGTAGTTTAATGGCATCTGAGAGGCATCTTTTATTAATAGTTTGCCTGAATTATTTTTATTCATTAGTTGGATCAGGTAGTTAATGGCTGATCCACCCAATGCTTGAATTGTGGAAAACGTTCACCACAATAAATTTAAATTATTTACATATATAAGGATCTGTGATTTAATTATGATCACTACCAAATATAACTTTTGTATCATAAAATATGTATAGATATTAAATAAAAAATAGAAGCAGAAAAATACCTAGTAAAGAACACAGAAAATTTACAAGCTTTAAGTTTTACTACAAATTTTACTTTCACTATTGATCCACATGTCAGCACCAGTTTTGGTATGCCAGAGCAGGTAATTTGATTAATAGTATTTAAGTATTTGCTTTCTATTTAGCCAGTTTCTCAGGTATTATGTCCCAGGTAGGCAGCAAATATGTTAAACAAAAAACTGCCGGGAGAGGTTTAAGCATAAAACAAGAATTTTCTGTTAAAATTAATATTTTTGCCCTTAATTTTGCTAGATTTGTACTCCTACTAGTTGCTGAAAAATACTTTTTGAAACTGGGTCTCTTTTACATCTGTTACGTTATAAATAGGCTCCCAAAATGTTAATAAAGGTTCATATTTTATATTTATACTTGCCCATTGTTTCTCGTTTATATAGTGGAAGGTCCATAGCAGCAGCAATGAGATCAATAGCTTCATGGCCCACACTTTGATACATAAAACTATCTATTTCTGTTTTACTGTGGGGTACTAAATTTGCTAAAGCTACAATTTCATGATCTGCAGCAATGCACTGCATCATATTAAAGGTACTATCTTTACCACCACTTATTAATGCTACCACTTTCATTTTGATCTCCAAAATTTACCTAAAATGTAATAATTTCGAGTATGAACCAATATCAATGAAAGATACTCTTAAGTATAATAAATAACCATCAAGATGCGTGTAAATGTGTCGTCAACGTAATGAAGACCAAAAGGGCATCTTAAATTTCCACATACATAAACAAAATGTCTATAAACAATGACAATAATTTAAAACTTAAAATTAATTTATATCAACTAGAAAGCACTCTTACCGTTTTATCAATATTTTGCTATTATGTTATTCTAAAACTGATCTCTCCTTTTGATAAAATTTATATATTTTTATGTAAAGGTCAAACGAAAAAAATGTGATATTTACAAGTAGCACAAACAGGGTCTATCAGGAATCCAAACCTGAAAAACTGAACATTATAAACTAATGCTATATAAAAATTATAAATCAAGTTTCACAAAAAGTGAGTATACATCGGTGCCTTTTAAATTTTAACGTTTTGTATAGATACAGAAAAAGAGCTCATATCCATAGCCCATTTACTAAAATTTTAAATTCTTAAAATAAAAAAGATAGTATTCGTATTTTAACGTAATAAAGTGAGATGAAGACGTACTATCTCAAAATTTGTAGCAGAAATGTCAAGTCATTGTCAAGTCAAATCCAATTTCCATGTCAATGTCAAACTGATGTCAAGTCAAATCGCATCCCAACATTGCGTTCGGTTTGCCACGTTCCTTTAACTCCTTTAACACTTTTAACTCCAAACGACTCTTTTAGCGTTCGGTTTAGGGGCCTATTCAGTAACTCTGAACGACGTCGTTAATAGACGATAATCGTTCACAGACGACTTTTCTTATTCAGTAGACAACGATTGTCGTTGAAAATAGACAAATATGGTTGTAAAATTGTCGTTCATCAACGATAGCCAAAGAGCTGTCGTTAATAATATGAAGTGTCGTTATAGTGATTTTTGCATTCCCTCTCATTTTTTATTATGAATCAGGATATGTTTTAAATAATAAAAACACTTTTTTACAAATTTTACAACTAAATTGCCATATACCTAATACAGCAAGTAAAATTTGTAAGGAATTTTTTTCTAATTTATTTAATTATTTTAAAAATAAATCGGATTTAAAGTTAGGATTGCCCATTCAACCATTTACTATTGGATTCTTATTAACAGTGCTGTTCCTAAAGTAGCACTGCGAAACAGTAACAAAACCTATGGAAGTACCTATACTTCTCCGTAACCTACAGAAATTTGGTTTGTCTTTCAAATCCAATAAAAAATACATCTTGTACTGTTCTCGAGTTGTTTTTTGTATTCTTTTGGAATAGTTCTCAGTTTTTTTTAATATATCCATACTCATTTTAATAAACCCTACATACAATACGACCAGCAAAAATGGCCCGCGAGAAACAGAATTCCTACGAATCGAGAATCGACCCCCTGATCGTGTTGTAGGTTAAGAACAATAATTAATATATTCTGAAAAACAAATGAATATATCTACTGGTTGAATTTTTATTTTACGTTCCTAAAAAAATGTCAAATATACCGGGTGTTGAAATTAAAGGGTTACAGTTAAATACCGCCTTTTATAAAAAAAAAAAACAAAGTTTTATAGTTTTTTGGGTGTTACTCAATAAGTAGAAATCCAATAAAAAAATGTTTTATTTAGAAGTTTCTTATTTTTTTATGAACTCTAAGAATACCTATGTAAAAAAATAGAGGGTTCCAATTTGAAAAAAAATCCACCTCGATATGGCCATATTATGGTCAGCTATAAAAAAATTAATTTAGCCAAAATGTTTCCCCTAAAAAACTATAAAACTTTTGTCTGATACTTTTTTTTATAAAATGCATATTTTTGGCGATATTTAACTGTAAAACTTTAATTTAAACACCCGGTATAATCATCAACATACGTTCTTTTATCACAAAACACTAAATTATAATACCAACTTACTAGAAATCATCGTTCAGATTTGGTAACTAGAAACAACGTAACGACTTTGTTATTGAATAGAATTTCAAAAATTATCGTTATAAAAGTCGTTGGTTGAACTGTCGTTAGCTTAACGATGTCGTCCATGAACGATAAATTACTGAATAGGGCCCTTAGTCCGATTAGTGACAGTTTAACACGCTTAAATGTCATTTAAAAGCACCCTAAAATTTGTCCCGCTCCAGCCCCTGACTGACCGAACTCGCCTCATTAGGCATTCCAACGACCTGTCCAAATGGCTACCAGTGGGTACTGACCAATGATCTGGCAACCTAGGGATACGACATGCGTAAGCGAAAAGTGGGACCGGTCCGCCATTACTGTGAGTGCAAATTGTCAAATTTTATAGGTTATATTTTTAGTGTCATTTGTGTAATTAAATTTGAATTTAATTTGTGTGTGAGCAAATTTTGAGTGTTACAAACTTATAAAGTATATAATGCCTTGCTGTGTTATACATTCCTGCTCTAGCGATAGACGTTTTTGTGAAAAATCGACTGGAATAACGTTTCATAGGTTAGTATTAAAATTATAAATATTATACAGGACAGTATTATGACAGGTTTGTATAAAATGTATAAAAGTATGCTTTTAAAAATGCAAAAAAAATCATCTATCAACTGTTGGGCCTACCTATATTGGAATAATACTTTTTCATATGAAATAATATTTATAGATTTCCAAAAAATCCTATAAAACGTAGCGCGTGGATAGTTTGTCAACAAGTATATGTTTCAAGCATTTTCTTGAGAAGTACATTAATCGTACGCCTTTTCGTTTATCAAATTTAATTTATAGGCATTTTATATTCTTATTTCTATTTAAATATAACCTATATTTGCTGTCCTTGCACCAATTTTATCTATTAGTTCTACAGCTGATTGAAAAGTAGAGCTTCATGTTTTGTGTATGCATGAGTATTGTTTGTTTTATTATAGTTAATTTAAAACAATATTAATATACCTTTTTAATCACCTATAATTTGTTTCAGATTAGTGCGTTTAATGGAATTGGTGAAAATTAAGCGATTCGCCAACTTTGGGGATGTTTCAGAAAAGTGACATCAAAGTTATTCAACGTTTCCAGAATAAAGCATTAAGGAACATCACCAATGCACCCTGGTACTGCCACAATACTGATCTTCATAGGAACCTTAAAGTGGAGACTGAATATTCGCGAGCTGCTTGTATGGAGTATCGGTGAAGATTTCCATACCGACAAGTTCCAAGGCACCAAACATTCAGTGCTGTGTTTCGACATATTCGAACACATGGCATACTATGTTAATATATCTTCTGATATTTAAACTCTTGTACCTTGGTAACCATGCAGAATTGAATGTTTGTTCATAGGACATTTTATGCTTGAAATGAATTCAGGAATATGATATTCAAGTTTGTATAGTGCATATAAGTTCTTATAATAATTAAATATTTAACATCAAGACATCAATACTCACTTAGTTTTTTTTAATGAGACTAGCAACAAAAACCATAACCGTTTGTCTAGTATTAAAAATAAATATCACTCCTAGATATGAATAAGAAAAATATTAAAAATTTTATTCCTTGTACACTTTTATTTAATCACAGCACACATTATTTTCATTTACAATATTTGCTTGACGTTTCATATGCCCCAGTCACCTTTTTTAGTGGCTTTTCCTGCTAAATTTTAGTCCCTATTCTACCTCCACGTAGGTAATGAATTATTCAACCTATTCATTTTTACTTGTTTTACAGTAAGATACTTATCTTTAATGTTCAAGTTTTAGAATTTGAACTTGGATTAGGCCATTTTCCGTCAATTTTGTTCTTAGAGCTGCTTCTGTAAAAACACTTGGGAAGTACTCTCACAAATTTATTTCTTATTTTGCCTAGAGAAGAAACTGTGTATTAGGAAATATTCTGGTTTTTACCTTAATGGTCAAGAAAAGCGCTTATAGTGGATACTTTTCCTAACTCGATAAACATTTATTACCTAGATGTTGGCCTCCCTTTATCACCAGCCTACAATTTCAATTCTTTTGCTGTTAACTTTAACTTCATCTGTGACTTTAACTATGATTGAGACTTCAACTTTTATCTTCACATTCTTTGTCTGACCTTCAATCATACATGCATGATTATTGTGCATAGATCAATTAAATTGGACCGGCACGCATGTTATAGTGTTACTACGGTAGGCCTTTACATAAGTAGCCATAATCTCTGCAGATGGTGAGAAGCCCAGCTCAAACCAACTACCATAATGTCGTCATTGGATTTATAGGGCTCAAGTAAGATCACTTCATATTTTACATTTGTTAGAAGTGCACCTGTACACCACTGGTTGTGGCTTCGCTGATTTACTGAATGTCTTGACAAAAGTACCAAGACCAAGTAAGATTAATCCACATTTTGATTTCCTGAACAGTGCATCTACCTACACAGAGATTGCTTATTAGCCATTTTCCGCGAGCCTTGCATTAAGTTTCGTATCTGATTATCGAGCTTTTAGTGTATGAACATTTGTTCTTAATTTCGAGAAAGCTGTTAATTAAAGTAAGGTTAGATTTACTTGACATTTGCGACCTTGTACTTTCAGATTTAAAGACAAAAAGCATTGGGCTCATAGAAAAACGAAAAACTAAAGATTGAGCTATTTATGTGCCCTAGTGCAAAAGTGGGATGACTGATCCAATAAATCGAACTCTGTTTACTTTTGTCGCTTATGTGAACCAAAAAGGTATTATTTATTTTTTCTGTGAATGATTTCAACGCTTTAGGGTTAATTTTACCATTGTGTTAAAGTTTAAACTATTAATTGAAGATTAAAATTACATTTTATGTAAAAATGTCATTTTAAACTTCGTTAAACCCAATGGTGGAATCGGCCCCAAGTTAGTGGTCATTGATTAGTTGCAATTTTGCAAATAATATATTCTCCAGCACTTAATAGCCACTTGAGTGATAATTAAATCAGTTATATTTTATTTCTTTCATTTACTTTATTCAGCACCTCTCGGTTGAAAATCGGGCATATTTAAGCTTTTAAATCCCCTTCTTTTATAACCTCGGCCTTCCACCACCTTTTAAGTCAATGTAAATAAAAAGGAAAATAATTTTTTTGTAATTCAAATAATGATACTTAACCAGAAATAGTACAATAAAAACTTGTAAATACGGTTCTGCTCTTCCGCCATTTTAGTGAGTGCAAAAGCCACGCCTACCGGTCCCACTTTTGTATATCAAAAATAATACATATGACGTATCCTTACGTTGCCTTATCAATGGTACTGACAGTCAAAACCGACAATTGACATTTTTTATGCTATTTGCTCCAAACTCTAGATGGGGCTACTGGTAAAATTCTGATTTCTTACTCCATTTTTAAGCTTTATGGGAGAAAAACAACCAAAGACTCCAAAGATGTGACGTGTATTTATTTATGTTTTTGGTTAATCTCATTTTTCCGTCTGATTTTAGTGATTTTTTGTTGGCTTTGGCTTTTGGTTTCTGTTTATAGTTTCGTCTTAGTTATAACCTACTGTGTTTTGCAATAATTTTGGTGCTACCTGTGGGTGCTACGTTGAAAACTTCGAGAAAAACTTCATTGATTCACCATGCATCTGCATCATAAAAAGAAACGGGTATAACAA